TGAATTGGAGTCACACTCTGTCGCCCAGACTGGAGTGCAGTAGCACACTCCCGGCCACCACAGCCTCAACCTGGTGAGCTCCAGCAATCCTTCCACCTCAGCCTTCCAAGTAGCTGGAACTACAGGCGTGCACTGCCATGCCTGGCTAATTTTTTTGATTTACTGTAGAGATGAAGTCTTACCAAGTTGCCCAGGCGGGTCTCGAACCCGCGGGCTCAGGCAATCCACTCACCTCAGCCTCCCAAAGTGCGGGAGATTTTTTTTTTTAAGAGACATGGTCTCACTCTGTCATCAAGGCTGGAGTGTAGTAGTACAGTCATAGGTCACTGTAACCCCTAACTGCTAGGTACAAGTGATCTTCTTATTTTGACCTCTCAAAGTGTTAGGATTATAGGCCACTGTGCCCTGCCATAAATTTTATTTTATTTTTTTTTGAGTTGGAGTCTCACTCTGTTGCCCAGACTAGAGTGCAGTGGCATGCTCTCGGCTACCACAGCCTCAACCTGCTGGGCTCTGGCGGCGGTCCTTCCACCTCAGCCTTCCAAGTAGCTGGGACTACAGACGCATGCCACCTCGCCTGGCTAGTTTTTGATTTATTGTAGAGATGAGGTCTCGCTGAGTTGCCCAGGTGGGTCTCAAGCCCCGCGGACTCAGGCAATCCACTCGCCTCGGCCTCCCAAAGTGTTGGCATTACAGGCTGAGCCACTGAGCCTGGCCTGATTTTTTTTTTTATTAAGTTACATCTTAGTACAAATAATATACTTGTGTCAATCAATTATCAAAACAAATTCTTAATAGCATTAAAAGAATCTTTGTGGGCTCAGTGGCTCAGCCTGTAATCCCAGCACTTTGGGAGGCCAAGGCAAGTAGATTACCTGAGCCTGTGGATTCGAGACCAGCCCAGGCAACTTGGTGAGACCCTATCTCTACAATAAATAAATAAAAAATTAGCTGGGTGCAGCAGCAGGCACCTGTAGTTCCAGCTACTTGAAAGGCTGAGGTGGAAGGATTGCTGGAGCCCAGCAGTTCAACGCTGGGATGGCTGTGAGTGTGCCATTACACTCCAGCCTGGGTGACGGAGTGAGACTCTGACTCAAAAAAAAAAAAGTATCTTTGCATTTCAAAAACACGCAAAGATGACAGTTTGCGTTGTCATCCTTGTGCAGGGGCCGTGCTAATCATCTCTGTATTGTTCCAATTTTAGTATATGTGCTACTGAAGAGAGCACACAAACTTGATTTTTAATAATTGAGGTAAAACTCACATAGTAAAAATTATCCACCTTAAAATTGACATTCACAGTGTTGTGCAGCTACCACCATTTTCATCATCTCCAAAGGAAACCATGTATTGATAAGTCGTTTTCCTCCTCCTGCTCCCAGCCCTTGGCAACCACTGATCTGTTCTGTCTCTGTGGTTTAGTTATTCTAGATGTTTCATATAATTGGGATGTCAAACAGTATGTGACCTTTTGTATCTGGCTTCTTTCAGTGAGTGTAATGCTTTTGAGGTCCACCTGCATTGTGGCATATATCACAATTATTTATCTGTTCATCCATTGAAGGATGTTTGTGTTGTTTCTACTTTTTTTCTTAAAGAAACATCTCATTTTGTCACAAAGGCTGGAGTGTAGTGGTGCAATTACAGCTCACTGCAGGCTTTATCTCCTAGGCTCAAGTGAGCCTCCTATGCTGGGACTACAGGTATGCACCACTGGGCCTGACTGTTGTGGTTTTGTTTTGAAATTTGCTAAGCACTGGAGGTATCTAATAAATGTAAAATATGTACCACACGTTTTCACTGTTTTTCCCTACAAACATTTTTTTTTAATCAATATTTTTTATTTTAATATTGTGGGGTACAGTTAAGGGTTAGGTATACAAATATGCTTCGTTCAGGCACCCTTGTTGATAAGGGGTGTCTCCCTGTCCCCAGACAGATATTGACTACTGTTAATCCCACCTCCCTTCCCCTCCCCCCCATAGTTTCCCACCACTGTCAATCCATTTCTTACAGTATTACGATAGATGTTCAAGGTCCACTATATGAGTGAGAACACGTGATACAAGAATTTAGGAAGTAATAGCAAGTGATTTGTCTTTTGTTGTTTAGTATTTTCAAAAGTTTACTATAAGCCTTTAAATATATATACTTTTATACTTTAGTGCCTTCATAAGTGGATTCATGCTTTATTCTTTCAGTCAGCAAATATTTACTGAGTATTTACTATATGCCAGATAGACATAGCAGACAAAAATCCTTACACACTTAGAAGTTAGGTGCCTTTTTTTTTTTTTCCTCAAATGTAGCTTAACCGTGTCTTTTTTTTTTTGAGTTGGAGTCTCACTCTGTCACCCAGGCTGGAGTGCAGTGGCACACTTATGGCCACTTCAGCATTGACCTGTTGTGCTCTGGCAATCCTTCCACCTCTGCCTTCCAAGTAGCCAGAACTACAGGCGCACGCTACCACACCCGGCTAATTTTTTTATTTATTGTAGAGACAAGGTCTCACCAAGCTGCCTGGGCTGATCTCAAACCCGCGGGCTCAGGCAGTCCACTTGCCTTGGCCTCCCCAAGTGCTGAGATTATAGGCTGAGCCACTGAGCCGGCCTATTGTGTCTTTAAATTCAAAGCCTCTTTTGGTACAGTTTTACGTTTACAGAAATACTACCCATAATACAAAGAATTCCTATATACCATCTTTCCACTCCAGCATATACATGGTTTCTCCTGTTATTATCATCTTACATTAGCATGGTACACTTGTCACAATTGATGAATCAATATTATAAATTATCATTAACCAAAGTTCATAGTTTCTTCAGATTTCCTTGGTTTTTATGTAATGTCTGTTTTCTGTTTGAGGATCCCATGTCGGATCCCATACTACGTGTAGTTGTCATGTCTCCTTAGGCTCTTCTCAACTGTGTCAGTTTCTCAGATTTTTCTTGTTTTCAGTGCCGTTAAATGCTTTCAGGAGCACTAATCAGTATATTTTAGGAGGCCACTCTGTTGGAATTTGTCTGACTTCTTTTCTCATAATTAGGTTGGGATTTCAGAAGGAAGAACACAGAAATAGAAAGCATTTTTATCACATTATATCAAGGGTACAATGCTACCAGTATGAGTTTTGTCTTTGAGGTTGACCTTGATCACTTGATCTGTAAAATTACTCTTTTCACTCCTTGCCATATTATACTCTTTGGAAGGAAGTCACTTTGTTCAGTTCAGACTTAAAGAGTGGGGAGTTATACTCCACCACCTGAAGGGAAGAATATCTTCAAAAATTATTTGGAATTCTTCTGTATGGGATATTTGTCTATTCTCCCTCACTTATTTATTCAGTTATGTATTTATGTATGTATGTATGTATGTATTTATTTATATAAAGTCAGAGTCTCACTCTGTTGCCCAGGCTGGAGTGCAGTGGCATGCTCATGACCACCACAGCCTTGACCTGCTGAGCTCAGGTGATCCTTCCATTCTCAGCCTTCCAAGTAGCCGGAGCCACAGGTGCGTGCCACCACACACAGCTATACATTTTTTGATTTATGATAGAGACAAGGTCTCGTCAAGTTGCCTAGGCTGGTCTCAAACTCCTGGGCTCAGGCAGTCCTCTCACTTCAGCCTCCCAAAGTGCTGGGATTACAGGCAAGAGCCACCGCATCCAGCTATTCAGTTATTTATATTAGCAAAGACTCATAGGTGTTTATTTTATACTTTGGGTTATAATCCAATACTACTTTATTTTTTTTCAGCTTTGGCCATTGGGAGCTCTTGCAGCTGGCTGAAAACAGTCCCTTTGACACACCTCCCTCATTGTTTGTTTTCATTTTCTTTTTTTCTTTTTTTTGAGTTGGAGTCTCACTCGGTCGCCTGCTGGGCTCTGGCGATCCTTCCGCCTCAGCCTTCCAAGTAGCCGGAATTACAGGCATGCGCTACCACGCCCGGCTGATTTTTTGATTTATTGTAGAGATGAGGTCTCGCTGCCCAGGTGGGTCTCGAACCCGTGGGCTCAGGCAATCCACTCACCTCGGCCTCCCAAAGGCGCGGGATTACAGACTGAGCCACCGAGCCCGGCTTTGTTTTCATTTTCTTGAGCACTTTTTTACTTTCTGGTAGTACAAGATGTTCCAGGTTCATCTAGTTTTCCCATTCCTAGAATCAGTCATTTCTCTGAGGAGTACGGGTTCCTTTTATTGGAGAGTGACATTAAAAATGAAGATCTGGCTTTAATATGTGTTTCTCCCCATTTTCTTCTTTTGCTCTAGTTATCATGGTTTGGGACTACAGAGGCCACATCAACGACAACAACCGGTTCCAAACAGTGATGCTGTCTTGAATTGCCCTGCTTGCATGACCACATTGTGCCTTGACTGCCAGAGGTAATGAATGAAGGGTGTATACCCACACACAAACATATACACACATGCACAGAACAAAAAATAACTTCATGATCCATTGGTTAGATCAGAAATAGACTTTTGAGCTGGGCGTGGTGATGTGTGCCTATAGTCCCAGTTACTCAGAAGGCTGAGGCAGGAAGATCGCTTGAGACCAGGAGTTTGAGGCTACAGTGAGCTATTATCATACCATTGCACTCCAACCTGTGTGACAGAGTGAGACCCTGTCTCTAAAAATATTTTAAAAATTAAAAATAAATTAAAAATAAAAAAGAAAGACTTTTGAGGTACATAGGATTTCTGATAAGATTCTATACTTATATCCTTGATGCTAATGACTAATCTTTATACAGATAATTTTGGTTAGATATAGTTTAATTAAAAGTAGCTTTTCAGTCCAAGCTGACAGTATAGAAGCAAGCTGGCTTTACTTCTCACAACAGAAAACCGAAACCAAATATATAGCACTGAGATTATTACCACCAATATCCCAGATCTCAAATATAAGGAGGAAACAGTTTCCAGGGTCACAGACAAGTGAAAATACTACAGGCAGACAGGAAGAGAACTGGACTTCCATATCCACAACACCCCTTCCCCTAGTCTGCCTAGCATGAGTAAATACAAAAATTTCCCCAAACTTGTGGTTATTTTTGTTGTTATTGTTTTTGTTTTCTTTTTTTTTAGTTTTGAGTTGGAGTCTCACTCTGTCATCCAGGCTGAAGTGCAGTGGCTTGCTCACAACCACTGCAGCCTTGACCTGCTGGGCCTAGGCAATCCTCCACCTCAGCCTTTCAAGTAGCTGGAACTACAGGCACACACTACCACGCCCAGCTTATTTTTTGATTTATTGTAGAGACAAGGTCTCGCCAAGTTGCCCAGGCTGGTCTCGAACCCTGGGCTTTAGGCAGTCCTCTCGCCTCGGCCTCCCAAAGCGCTGGGATTATAGGCTGAGTCACCAAGCCCAGCCAACTTGTGGTTTCTATACTGGAAAAAGTAAACTCAAGATAGACAACCTTTCCTACCATCTTGAGTTCCCTGGCAGGAGACCTGTCCTTGCTTCAACCCATGTGAAGCCTTAGGAGTGCCTGCAGGGAGAAATATCCCAGAGGACAGCCAGAGACAAGAAGCAGAGAGGTAAGACTACCATCCCCAGCTCTGGAAATTCTGCTCTGTAACTCAGTCAAGGGAGATGCCAAATCAGAGTGGCTATTCAGCAGTACCACGCTATAGGTTTGTTCCATAGGTCTCCTGAGCATGAACCCATAGCCAACCTTCCTTCACTGCTGGGATATCCCCTATGGGACCTCCCCCATTCAGCACGCTGTTTCCTAGAAATTGAGGCAAGCCATGGCTAAAGCTCCATTGAGTGCTGAGAAGGAGGCAGTGACCTAGCAGAAAGAAGGAAGAAAAGAACTAAAGGAAGGGAAATAAGGACAGAAGGAAAAAAGGAAGAAAGAAGGGAAAGGAAAGAAAGAAAAGTATATCAACAGGCAAATTGCAAATTACCAAGAATTTTTAAGTAAACATACCTAGTGAAAACCAAAACAAGTCACACAGAGAAGACTAGAATAAACAACTAACCCTTCAATGCAAAGACATAAATGTACATCCACAAGAAGCATCAGCAAATGGAACTGTGACCTCTCTAGACAAAACAAGGAACCAGTGACTGGCCCCAGCAAGACTGTGATGTGTGAACTCTGTGACCAATAATTCAAAATAGCAGTTTTAAGAAATCTCAGGACAACACAGAAAGGCAGTTCAGAAATTATTTGTTTTTATTAAAATTTTAATAAATTTTATTATTTATTTTATATTTGTAATTTAATAAAATTTTATTTTTATTTCAAGTTGTCCAGGCTGGCCTCGAACCTGCAGACTCAGGCAGTCTACTTGCCTTGGCCTCCCAAAGTGCTGGGATTATAGGCTGAACCACCGAGTCCGGCCAGCCGTTCAGAAATGTATCAGAAACATTTAACAAATAAATTTAAATTAGAGAGGTAGGAGCACACCTCATCAACCAGGATACCTGCATAATGAACATTTGTATACCTAACCCTGAATTGTACCCGACTTCTTTTTTTTTTTTTTTTTTTTAATAATCAATATTTTTTATTATGACATTGTGGGGTACAGTTAAGAGTTAGGTATACAAATATGCTTTGTTCAGGCACCCTTGTTGATAAGAGGTGTCTCCCCATCCCCTGACAGATGTTTACTACCATTAATCCCATCTCCCTTCTCCCGCCTCATAGGTTCCCACCACTGTCAGTCATTTTCTTATGGTATTACATTGGATGATCAAGGTCCACTATATGAGTGAGAACATGTGATACTCAGGTCTTTGTTTCTATGAGAGGTCACTCAGTATTATAGACTCAAGTTCCATCCATCCAGGTTGCTGCAAAATTCTTGATTTTGTTCTTTTTTATGACTGCATAGTATTCCATCGTATATATGTACCACATTTTTTAAATCCAGTCCTCTTTTGATGGACAGCATGGTTGGTTCCAGGTTCTTGCTATTGTGAACAATGCTGTGATAAAAATTTGTGTGCAGGTATCTTTTTTATAGAGTGATTTGAGTTCTTCAGGGTATATTCCTAGTAGGGAGATTGCAGGGTCATATGGAAGGTTGATACTTAGAGCTTTTAGGAATCGCCACACTGCTTTCCACAGAGGTTGCACCAGTTTGCACTCCCACTAATAGTGTAGAAGTGTTCGCTTTTCACCACACCCCCTCCAGCAACTGTTATTTTTTGAGTTATTGATAATTGCCATTCTGACTGGAGTTAGGTGGTATCTCAGTGTGGTTTTGATTTGCATCTCCCTGATGATTAGTGAAGTTGAGCATTTCTTCATGTGTCTGTTGGCTGCTCGGATGTCTTCCTTTGTGAAGTATCTGTTCATATCTTTTGCCCATTTTATAATGGGATTGTTTGTTTTTTTCTTTACAGCACGTTTGAGTTCCTTGTAGATCCAAGATGTTAAGCCTTTGTCAGACCTGGAGTTGGCAAATATACTTTTTCCCAGTCTGTAGGCTGTCTCTCTGCTCTCTTGATGGTTTCTTTGGCTTTGCAGAAGCGTGTTAGTTTAATGAGGTCCCACTTGTTTATCTTCTCTCTTATGGCCTGTGGGTTTTGGATTTTGTTCAGGAATTGGATGCCAGTTCCAATTTCCATGAGGGTATGTCCTTCCTTTTCTAAGTTTCTTATGGTTTGAGGTTTTACATTTAAGTCTCTGATCCATTTGGAGTTAATTTTTGTGTATGGGGATAGATAGGGGTCCTGTTTCAATCTTTTGCATGTGGTTAGCCAGTTTTTCCAGCACCATTTACTGGATAGGTTCTCCTCTCCCCAGTGGTAGGTGGTGGAGGCTTTGTTGAAGATTAGTTGGTTGAGAAATTGAGGTTTCGTGTCTGGAATCTCAATTCTATTCCACTGATCTGTATGCCTGTTCCTATACCAGTACCAAGCTGTTTTGATGATTGTAGCTTTATAGTAAAGTTTGAAGTCTGGTAATGTGATACCGCCTGCTTTGTTTTTTTTTTTTTTTTTTTGCTGAGGATTGTTCTGGCTATTCTTGTTCGTTCCCACTTCTTTAAAATAAAGAAAAAGACTGGGCTCGGTGGCTCAGCCTGTAATCCCAGCACTTTGGGAGACTGAGGCAAATGGATTGCCTAAGCCTGTGGGTTCAAGACTAGCCTGGGCAACTTGGCGAAACCTCATCTCTATAATAAATAAAAAATTAGCTGGGCATGGTAGCACGCGCCTGTAGTTCCGGCTACTTGGAAGACTGAGGCAGAAGGATTGCTGGGGCCCAGCAGGTCGACACTGGGGTGGCCGTGAGTGTGCCACTGCACTCCAGCCTGGGAGACGGAGTGAGACACCAACTCAGAACAAAGAAAAAAACCCCCAAACACACAAAAAATATATATTGAAAAAAAAAGGATGGGCACAGTGATTCATTCCTGTAATCCTATCACTTTGAGAGGCTGAGGTGGGAGGAGTTAGAGACCAGTCTGGGCAACATAGCAAGGTCTTGTCTTGACCAAAAAAAATTATTTAAAAATTAACTGGCATGCCTGGGCACAGTGGCTCATGCCTATTATAATCCCAGCACTTTGGGAGGCCGAGGTGAGAAGATTGCCTGAGCCTGTGTGTTTGATACCAGCCTGGGTAACTTGGTGAGACCTCATCTCTGCAATAAATCAAGAAATTAGCCAGGCATAGTAGTGGGTGCCTGTAGTTCCAGAAGGATCACCTGAGCCCAGTAGGTCAAGGCTGCACTGGCCATGAGCATGCCACTGCTCTCTAGCTTGGGCGACAAAGTGAGACTCCAACTCAAAAAAAAAAAAAAAAAAAATTAGCCGCCGGGCATGGTGGCTCAAGCCTGTAATCCCAGCACTTTGGGAGGCTGAGGTGAGAGGACTGCCTGAGCCCACAGTTTTGAGATCAGCCTGGGCAACTTGGCAAGACCTCATCTCTACAATAAGATAAAAAAATTAACTGGGCATGGTAGTATACCCCTGTAGTTCCAGCTCCTTGGAAGACTGAGGCAGAAGGGTCACCTGAGCCCAAAGGGTTGATGCTGGAGTGGCCATGAGCATGCCGCTGTACTCCAACGTGGGCGATGGAGTGAGACTCCCACTCAAAAAGTAAATAAATAAAATTAGCCATGCATGATGCTTATAATTCTAGTGCTTTTTGAGGCTGAGATGAGAGAATAGTTTGAGGCCAGGAGTTCAAGGTTAGCCTGGGCACCATAGCAAGATGCCATTTCTACCAAAAAAAAAAAAATTAGCTGAGAATGGTACTGCATGCCTATTGTCCCAGCTAATTGGGAAGATGAGTCAGGAGGATCCCTTAAGCTAGGGAGTGGAGACTTATGGAGTGCTTGATGGCTTAAATGCAAGGAGCCAAGACTGTACCATTGCATTCCAGCCAGGGCGACAGTGAGACCCTGTCTCTAAAAAAATAA